GACTTCGGCACGCCCCAAAGTCACAGCGCCTCGCCCTGCATCACTTAGCCTGCTGAACCGGAGGCTGCCATTAAATATGAACCACGCATCAGTCAGCCCTCCGCCCCAGCGTGCAGCCACATGAAGGGTAAAAGAGCACAGCCTGGTAATTTGCCCGCTCAGTGCTGAAGTTGCCCCCTACACTGAGCCGAGACCAAGTCTACAAAGAGAATTACAAAGAGTGTATTTATTAAAGATTTACACCGAATGCAGCGAGAGGTGTTGGGAACCTTCTGTTGGAGTTGAAAATTACAATTAGCTGCTTATTTTGTGTTACCTGGTAAATTGATAAACAACTTCAGGGGATTAATTTGTTTCACAACAGTAACAACAATAATTTTAAAAAAAATTCAAAAACAGGCTTCAACTTCGCATATTTTAGCAGCTACGCAAAATGAGCATCAGTGCCGCTGAATTAATGCATTTTCCTTGTTTTATATTGGGAGCTATAGCTGCAGATTCAGAGACCCTGAGTGTAGGGGAAATAGATTCTTGTCTTTTGCCTTGGGGCACCTAAACGTGTCTTTTCAGATTTGGTGATGGCTAGGTCTATGATCATTCAAGCGCTTCAAATTACATCAGGATGAGAAGGGGAAGGAGGTACATGGGAAATGAAAAAAGAAAGAAAATGATATTCATTCTTCCCCCTTATCTACCTTATACATCAGTGCGTGAAGATGGGGCTTAGAATAGGTAATGAGCTCAGGCCCCCGTCCTGCCACATGTTTGGGTAGAGCTGGGAGTCGTGTCTGTCATCCAGGTGCTGCAGCATCCTATAGAAGAGCAGTTTAACACCTACAGAAGCCTTGTTTTTTTTTCTCATATCAGCCTGGAGAGGCTCGTCATCGTCACTGCAGGACATGTACTGTTTCGTGAAATGTGACGTGTCTTGTGTTCAAGTGCAGCGCTTGTGTGGCCCCAGAGGTCATCAAACCATGATGCGTCACAAATACAAACACACAAACAGGTACACAAGCTGACAGACAGGAGATGAAGAGCACACACACAATGAAAAGCACACACATAAACTCCCAGTCAATCACAGATACAAACACATGGGAGCACTTACACACGCAAGGCAGGCCAAGGTTAGCGGGGGTCAGCAGGTCATCGCGAGTGGGGGGGGGGACTGAGGAGGCGACGAAGGCGATGGTTTATAGTACCGCAGTCATATGAACACATCAGAGGAAATCCAAAAGGCCATTAAAACGCCTGCTTTTATGGGTGTAATAATCCCTCTCCTCTGCCTGGGAGTCCAGCCATAGCTCCAATGACCATCCAGATTAAGTGGGAGGTCTGACAGGAGGCAAGCTATCAGCTAATGCAGGGGAGCTCTGAGAGCCCAGCAGGACCACAAACATCACATAATGCCAGGGCTGTTCATACAAGTCTCAGCGAGGCGTTTGCTACAGAGCTGAACACATACAGCGAGCTCGGGGAAGTGCTTTGACAGCAACGCAGTGTTCAGCGTTTTATCCCGGTTGAAATATTTGAATGTGAAATTATGACCAGCAGGTTCGAATGGCAGCTGTAATTTGAGGCTATTCAGGCACCTCAAACGAACAGGCAACACAAATGCAGCCTTTTATTTTGTAATTGTACCCTTGACACACCTCTTCTTTTCAGCTTGCAGCTTAAGATAATGTTCAATAAGTGTTTTCACTTCTTTGTTTTTTTTTGTTTTTTTAATCTCCAACAAAAACTGTGCAGTGACTTCTAAAAGTCTTCAGCCCATCAAGATCAGCAGACTGCTGATATCTTATCTCCGAGCTTATCTTTCCGGCTGATTTAGTTCTATTTTGTTCCGTCGGTATGTCTGAGTGTTCAGCTGCGACCAGTTGACGTCATAGTCAGAACATTGTTTGAAAGTAATAAGAGCACAGAGCCCAAACTATGAAGCTCAATGTAGAGATTAAGACACTCTGCACAGTTTCGGTATCACAGCTTCAACCTTTCCTTATTTATTTATTTATTTATTATCTACAAAGCGTGCACACAATAATATCTTGTGCAGCTTATAATTCATCGTGCGTCACATTGTGGCTGTTGCAAAGAAAGTCTGTGGGCTTTGCTGTTGTTTTGTTTTTAATTATGTAGAAAGTTCATCATGTTATTTTGTCCTCACATGCAAACAAGGGAGAGACAAATTAAGACCTGTAAGATGTCTGTAAGGTTTCTAGATCATCAGCTCCACTCTGGCATTATTCATCATACAACTATTGTATTGGATCATATTGAACAGTTAAAAGCTGAACCACCTACAATTTCCGCCACCTACAGAAAACGTCAGCAATGATTGCATCTCCGTTTTTTCAACGTTCAGATGGGAAACGCAGCAGCGCAGCACTCAGGAACCATTATAAAGTGGATCTGACTACAGCGCATCACACAGCGCCCAGTAAGCCTCAGTACAAATGCAGCAGGGTAACCTGGTATCTCTCACCACATTGAGCAGCAGAGATCACTCTCTCTCTCCACAGCTCAGGGCAGGACTTCAAAGCCAGCATGCAGCCCAGAGTTGAGCAGCGGTGGTAGAAATTGTTCAAAGGAATGTAGCCTGTTTACTATTGACTTTGCAACAATTACCCAAGCATATGTGTGTGTAATTAGATAAGGCAGCCAGTTGTTCTCTAATGCGGCAAATCAAATTAACTAAAGATGCCACATTGATTTCTTTGTGTTCCCTAAATTATTCATCTTCACTTGCTCTGAACCAGCCAGCCACCAAAGAGCTTTTCTAACTCCTCCACACCACCGCTCCTTTGCTCCCTGCACACACTGATTGTTTTGTGAGATCCATCCATGTACCTTTTCAATATTTTTGCTCTAACAATTGGGCAAATAGACCCTCCTGAAAAGAGAGCATTTGCAGTGTTTCGGAAATGCCCAGAATTCCCATTAACTGAGATTGCTCTGACCCCCATCATTGTTGTCATGTGCGTGTATGTATACTTGTGTGACAAAAAGAGAGGGGGAGAATATTTGCATTCCGTGTGTGTGTGTGTGTGTGTGTGTGTGTGTGTGCGCGTGCGTGCGTGTGTGCGTGTGTGTGTGTGACAGGATGCACAAGACCGCTGTGAAAATGCATGAAGCACGCAGGCTGCAGACAACCACGTCTCAGGCTGCTCCATTGACGTCCTGTTCTCTGGCATGTTGCACACGGGGAGATCAATATGACCTTACCTCCACCACCCACTCCTTTGAAACTTAATTACAGATATTCAGCTACAAAGTCATCATAGCCTAGCTGTCAATATTCATTGGGGATCATTACGGGCCTAATAAAAGTGGTTATTTACGGGCTGCTCTGCTGACACCGGCCCAGGTCCAGAGATTCCGCTCCAGCCATCTCAATTTGTTTTACCTATTTTCTCTCTCTCTCTCTCTCTCTCTCTCTCTC